GGGGCGGGGGCGGGGGCGGGGGCGGGGGCGGGGGCGGGAAACCGAATGAAATACCACTTCATATCCACTAGAATGGCTAGACTTAAAAAGACAGACAATACACTTTGGCAAGGATGCGGCGAAATTGGAACTCTCATATTGGGTTGGCTAAAAAGTTCGTTCGGGTTTTTCCGTAAGATGTTAATGGAAAAATCCAAACGAACTTTTTGGCCAACCCAATATATTTCTGGTGGTATTGTTAAATGGTGCAGTCACTTTGAAAAACAGTTTGGCAGTTCCTCAAAATGTTAAACATAGAGTTACCATCTGACTCAGCAATTCCACCACAAGGAAGGGAAGTGAAAACATATGTCCACACAAAAACTTGTACACAAACGTACATAGCAACATTATTCATGAGGCCAAAAAGGTGGAAATAACCCAAATGTCCATCAACTTATTAATGAATAAATAAAATGTGGTTATCCATACATTGGAATATTATTCAGCCATAAAAATTATGAGGTACTGATACGTGCTGCAACATGGGTGAATCTTGAAACTTCTGCTAAATGAGAGAAGCCAGTCGCAGAAGACCACACATTTTATTATTTGTATGAAAATGTATGGAATCAACAAATTTATAGAGACAGGAAGTAGACTGGTGATTGTTTACAGATAGGAGGAGGGCTGGGGAAAGGACTGACTGCTAATGGGTAGGGGTTTCTTTTAAAGGAAAGATGAACATGTTTGAAAATTAGATCATGATGATGGTTGCACAATATGGTGAGCATACTAAAAACACTGAAATTGTCCATTTTAAATGGATGGATTGTATAGTATGTGAATTATAACTCAGTAAAGCTGTTTAAAAAAAATTCTTTAAGGAGGGGAAATAAACAGAAATAAGATCAGCTGTGGGCTGGTAAGTGTTAAAGCTGGGAGATGAGTAAAGGGGGATTCATAATACTATTATCTCTAGTTTACATTTAGAATTTATTTTTTAACATCTTTATTGGGGTATAATTGCTTTACAATGGTGTGTTAGTTTCTGCTTTATAACAAAGTGAATCAGTTATAAATATACATATGTTCCCTACATTTAGAATTTTCTGAAAGAAAAATTGGATACAACATTTCCTAGAATTTTCAGAGGTGCTTATCCAAATGTTTTCTGGCCTCCCCCAGTTCATGGGCTCGGAGAAGGCCATCTGTCCTTCTAGGTGGGGTGGAGTGGGTTTGTTTTACACATAACCTGAGCTGCTGCTGGCCACTTCCACCATCTTTCTACTCCATTGACCACTCTGCCCACTCACGGGCAGCTTGGCCAACCTCTGCCACAGCCTGGCCTCTGGACCAACAGCGGGCCTCTGCCAGGGCCGTGCCCGCCTCCCTGCCTCCTCCTTCAGACCACTGACCTCTTGTATGTCTTCCCTTCTACTTGTCACCACCAGCCCTGTCAGAGGGGGAACCCACAGCAGAGCAGCTGGGATCCCAGTGACCACACAGACTCTCCCAGAGGGTGAAGCTCAGGCACAGCCTCACACATCGCCTAGGCCCCCAGCTCTCTCACTTCCAGACCCAGCTGCTCCCTCTGGCCTCTCTGTTAAGCATCCTCCTCCCTCGGGCTGCATCCTGTGCTCTCCGTGCTGCCAGCTGTCTTTCCAGCAATCTCAGCCCAAGGAAAGATCTAAGCGGTTCTGACTCAAAGTGAAGCTGACTTCCTTCCTACATGGCTCTTGAGCCCTGAACAAATCAAGGGATTGTACGTATGTGCACATAGAGGTCCCTGGAGATTTGCCACCAGTTAAAAAGCCCTAGAAAGGCTCTGGAACATTCTACAACAATTAGGGGGGGTGGGTCCAACCAGTTAGGTAGTTCTGCTTGATTTCTCACACCTGTGTGGTCCCTGACTCAGCCAAAATCCAGAGTTACACAGGTTTTGGTATGAAATATATGAAGTGTGACCTGGAGGAAAGATCGGAGGAGGAACTGAAGTCCAGCTGGGACAGCAGGGTTGGAGAGGAGGAAGGGCCACACGACAAATGGCAGAAGCAGAATTGCCAGGACTTGGTGACCAGTTGCATGTAAGGATTAAGAAGAGATCCAGGTTGGGGGACCAGGTGAAAGGTGATGTCCTTAGCTGGGATAGAAAAGGAAAGAGGACTGGGTTCAAGTGTGATTGTTGAAATGGAATGCCTGTGAATGCCTCGGTGGGGATAGAGGGGCTTAGCTGGAAACTGAGGTCTAGAGCTGAGTTGAACCAGCAATACTGAGGACTAGAAGCTGCAGATGTGGTGTCTACATCAGGGCTCAGAGGCCTCTCTCAGAAATAGGGTGACCGAGTGGTCTGGTCCTGGTTTACACCCTCTTTCCTGGTTTATGCCTATAAACCTATCCCTGTTAGCACCTCCTGCACTCTCAAAAGTGTCCCATTTTGGATGACAAACTGCCTTCCAGTCACAGCTCTGCTTCTTTCCCGCTGTGTGACCTGGAGCAAAGCATTTCTGCTCTTGGAGTCTCCGTTTCTTTCCTCTGCAAAAGATGGAGATTGAACAGTGATCTGAAATGTCTCTTCCTCTGAGAAGTTGTGTTCATCTTATCTGGTGCTGTTTCTCTTGGGGTTCAGGTCACCTGATGTGGGATGTCAGTCACCTCCGAAGAGAGCGTTTGTGTGTGTGTGTTGAGGGGGGGATCTCTCTGGGGTACCGAGGCTGAGGATGAGAGTCCATGGAGCCCTTTCAGCACCAGCCTATGTCTATGCTGGAGCTATCTGGCTCACGGACTGGTGGCAATCGGTAAGAAGGCGCCGGGAACTTGGAAAGTGGGGGCAGAGGGGGCGGTATTAGGCTTCGGCGACAAGCTGGGAAGGCAGTGGGATTTGCAGTTAAACCTAGCTTCAAATCAAGCTGCTACTTGACCTCTCTGAGTCTGTTTGCTCATCAGTAAAATGGGGTTAATTAGGCGGCCTCGCCAGGATGTGTGAAGCTGGAGGTGATATACGTCCTAGAGGCAGCAACAGCTGCTGGGATCGCGGCGGCAGAAGCTTTGGGAAGTGAAGCAGGACCCCGAGCGGGACCGGAGGCGATTCCCGGAGGCCGGGGCAGCGGGCGAGGAAAGGGGGATCCGAACACGCTCGGCGGGGAAGGGGAGGCCGACGCCCACCACCGACCCCAGGGATGCCGCTTCGCGTCCACGTTTTCCCTCCTGGCGCCCGCCGGGGGTCTCGGTCCCCGGCTGTCACCTGGACGCTCGGGGATGGGGCGGGCGAGCCGGGCGGGCGTAGAGGCGGGCCTTGGCGGCGGCTGCGGGCGCGGGCCGG